TTAAGCCCGGTGTAGCTCCGATCAATTTGAGGCCTTATAGGTTTCCACACCATTAAAAATCAAAGGTGTAAAGATAGATTTATGATATGCTATCAGCTTCTATCATTCAAGCAAGCAAGAGCACCTTTATCTCACCTTGCTTACTTGTTAAAAAAATGATGGTTCTTGGCGATTTTCTGTGAATTATAGGCAGTTAAATAGTCAGACAATGAAGAATAAATTCCCAATACCGGTGGTATAGGACTTATTAGATGAATTACATGGCGCAACCTATTTTTCTAAATTAGACTTAAGGTCTGGCTATTGGCATATTCGAATTCAGCCTGAAGACATCTACAAAACTGCATTTCGCACTCATCATGGACATTTTGAATTTAAGGTAATGCCCTTGGGTTACAAATGCCCTTGCTACATTTCAATCTCTTATGAATGATTTGTTCACTCCCTACTTAAGAAAGTTTGTTCTAGTTTATTTTGATGATATATTAGTGTACATCACTACATTACCTGCTCATGCAACACACTTAAGACGTGTTTTGGAAATATTGACACAAAATCAGCTTTATGCCAAGAGAAGTAAATGCTACTTTGGACAGCTACAAGTGGAATATTTAGGCCACATTATTAATGCTCAGGGTGTCTCAACTGATCCATCAAAAATTATTGCCATGAAAATTTGGCCACTTTCTCAAAATTTGAAGTCTCTCAAGGGTTTCTTAGGGCTAACAGGATATTATAGACGGTTCATCAAAGGTTATGGTGAAATTAGCCATCCACTTACAATGATGTTGAGAAAAGACTGTTTTAAATGGATTTCTGTAGCATTGGCATCTTTTACTCAATTGAAAGAAGTAATATATAAGGCTCCGATTTTGGCTCTTCCTGATTTCACTAAAGAATTCTGTTTGGAAACAGACGTGAGCTCAGAGGGTATAGGGGTTGTTTTGTCTCAAGGAGGTCATTCTTTGGCTTACCTTAGCAAAGCTCTAATTCCTGAAAACATGGATCTTTCTATCTACGCGAAGGAATATCTTGCCATTCTTTTGGCAGTCTCAAAATGGTGACATTATCTAGAGTGTGGTCCATTTATCATTAAAACAAACCACGAACCTTTAAAGTATTTGTTAGAACAGAAGCTTACAACAATAATTTAGAACAAAGGGTTGATTAAATTATTGGGTTTAGATTACACAATCCAATACAAAAAGGGCGTACTAATGTTATGGCATATGCTTTGTTAAGACAACTTGTGAATTTGGGTGAGTGTAAGTAGATAAGTTCCATGATTATCATTCCAACTTGGGTTAAAAACATTGAGCAAAGCTACGTACAAGTTTCCAGTGCTAAAAAAATATATTAGAGCAGTAACTGTTAACACTGGTAATGCTCCAAATTGGATGTATTCAAAGGGTATTTTGTTCTACAAGGATGGAGTTTATGTGGGAGAGACGGGTGATTTATGTTTGAAGATTCTACAAATATTACATGACTCTCCACATGGAGGGCATTCATGTATTCAAGCTACTTATCAACGTGTGAAAGCTTATTTTTATTAGCCTAAACTTAAAACTATGGTCTCTAATTATGTCCAACAATGTAAAGTTTGCCAACGTACTAAAGTGGAGTATGTGGTTAAACTAGGGTTGCTACAACTCATTTCTATTCCTCAACAAGCATGTGAGGTGATAACTATGGATTTTATTGGAGGTTTACCAGTTTTTATGCATAAGAATTGTATTTTGGTGATAGTGGATAAACTGACTAAATATGCTCATTTTTTAGCACTTTCTCATCTTTATACTGTGATAGAGGTAGCTAAATTGTATTTAGATTAGGTATATAAACTTCATGGTCAGCCTAAGATGACCATTTCAGATCGAGACAACACATTCACTAGTCTTTTCTGGAAAGAACTGATGAAGCAATTAGGAACCAACACACTCTTTAGCACGGCCTATCATCCTGAGACGGATGGTCACACTGTGCGAGTGAACCAGTGCCTGGAACAGTACTTAAGAGGTTTGTGTTTTCTAAAACCTACATAGTGGGCAAGATGGTTGCCCTATGCTGAATGGTGATACAATACAAATTACCACACATCACATAAGATTACCCCTTTTGAGGCCCTCTACGGATACAAACCTCCTACGATGTTATGGTGTTCTGAGTCTAATTAACACAGTGTTCAGACATTACTACAAGATAGGGATCAACTTAGATAAATTGTTATAGATCAACTACAACAAGGACAGAATCATATGAAATAGCAAGCTGACAAAAATCGCAGTGAGAGGACATTTAATGTAGGAGAAGAGCTGTACCTGAAACTGCAACCATATCGGCAAACTTCCCTAGCACTCAGAAAAAATTTGAAGTTAGCAGCTTGTTTTTATGATCCATACAAGACTCTAGAAAATATTGGAGAGGTTGCGTACAAATTAGCCTTACCAGATACCGCTCGAATCCATTATGTTTTCCACGTCAATCTCCTGAAGCGAAAACTTGGTGAGAAGACAGTAGCTTCATCAGAACCTCCTCAGGTAATCGATGATGGCTAGATGAAAGTATTTCCTGAGAAGATTTTGAACAAAAGATACCATGGAATATTATACAGTCCTGCGTGCTCAATTTCCTACTTTCGACCTTGGGGACAAGGATCTACTCATGGACGGGGTATTGTCACAAACGAAAGAGAGGAACAATATTAAGAGATCATAATCGAAGCGAGAGAATTGGGGGAAATGAAAGAGGAATTAGGGATTATGAAAATAGGAATCGGGGAATTAGGGATTTCAATTCCTAAGGCTAAGACAAAAGAAACTTACATGGAAATGGACACCAGTAAGGACGATTGGAAGTCGAATGGGACAAAGGATATGGACTCGATGGTGGATCCATCTAGTAGCCCATATGAGAAAATACCTTAGCTCTTATCTGCAAAGGAAGCTGTTAGAGTTAGTTATTCAATTGTCAATTTAAGATTTGTCATAGTACATTGTATTGAAAATAAAACCATGTACTGTAGAAGAAAAATTTTATCTGATGAATGAATGAAAATCATTTATTTGTAATCTCTCTTCTTCTCTACTTCTAGATCATTCCTTCATTCGATCTTACCTTCTTTATTTCTCTCGGTTAATAACAACGTATCAAAAGGTGTCCACTAAGTTGATTAAACTACATAAAAAGTTACAAAAAAAAATTTGATTATAAATAAATCTATTTTTTATTTAGTTTGACAAAATACTAAAGGAGTTCGTTGTATAAATTTTTATTTATTGAATTTTTTTGGTTTGAAGATATTTTTATACACAACATAAGCCCAAGGTTTGAGAAAGAAAAATATTGTCATAAATATATTCCTGGTAGCAAAGTTCTTTTAGGTCGAATCCAAAGTACCCACCACAGCAGATGGCGGTACTTACCAACACAACCGCCGCAGTCGACGCCCCTAAAATTTCCCCGGAAAAGGCCCTTCCTTCCATTTTCTCCAGATCGCTCTCCTTTCCCTCTTTCAATCAATCCATTTCCTTACTCACACCCCGAACCCCCCCCCCCCCAAAGTCCCCACACTTTCCCCTGTCGAAAGCTCCCGTAATCCCTCAACTTCTCCCTCCCTACCTTTGCGACGGTGAAACCCTCTACAGCATCTTCCTCCTTTCGTTCTCCCCCACTTTGGCCGAGATCACCGTCTTCTCTGACTACGACTTCGTAGTTATCGACATGGAACACGGCCCTGGGGGAATCCACGAGTCCCTCCAAATGTTCCGCCCCCTCATCCAGACCAACACTCCTGCCATCATCCGCCTCCCCGAGTCCTTCGAGGTTTGGGCCAAAAAAACCCTTGACCTGGGCCCACAAGGGATCATGTTCCCATGATTGAATCAGCTAAAGACGCTGAAAAGGCGGTTTCGTATTGTCGTTTCCTTTCCGATGGAATCCGTGGATCCGCTCACACGGTGGTAAGAGCTTCCAACTACAGGATCAACGAAGGCTATCTGAGTAACTACGTGGAGGATCTATTAATAATGTTCCAAGTTGAAACTCTGGACGGTGTCAAAAAAGTGGAGGACATCGCCGCCGTCGAAGGGGTCGACTGTATTCAAATGGGTCCGCTGGATTTAAGCGCTAGCGTGGGTTACCTTTGGGACCCGGGTCACAAGAAGGTAAAGGAGGTGATGGGGACGGCGGAGAAAGGGGTGCTAAAGTCGGACTCGAAAAACGGTGGTGGAGCCTTCTTGGACGGTTTAGCAATGCCTCATGATCCACCGGCGGAAATCGGAAAGCGCGGATATCATATGGTTTCCGGTGCCATTGATATTGGGCTGTTCAGAAATGCAGCGGTGGAGGATGTCAGGAAGTTTAAGATTACTCTCAAGGCTGATTCCGATGGGGAAGATGATAAAGACGATGAGAAGTATTGGAGCGAATAAAATTGCTGTATTTTGTTTAGTACGATTTGCTCTTTGGTAGCAATCCTTTGTAAGCAGACGGCAATGAAATCAACTTGGAGTTGGATTTAGTTAATCTTCATGAGTTTTCGACTCATTCCTCTCGACTTTCTCATTGAGCTTCAATTTAGCTGCTTGCTTTATGGTGCAAAACAAAGGCTTCAATTTACACCCCCATATATTTCTCTATGATTATCAGTGACACTCTTAACAAAATATGAGGAATAAATTATACATTGCATCACTAAATATTGAAGTTTTGAATTATTTTGTTTTCATCACTCCAACTATCTATCTATCTTTTGACTAATTATATAATAATGAGCTTATGTTGATCAAACGTTAAAGATGTAATTTATAGTCTTATAAATTTTCAATTCATTGTTACAAATTTTAGATTGTTAAAGTTTTAATTCGTGAATATTTTAAGTGATTAGAGACGCGGCACATATATATGACTATGCAAGTTCCTTATTAAAAAGAAAAAAATAAGAAAAATGAGATAAACAACACATATTCTTTGTATCAATAAAGAATAATCTATGTTAATAAAAGAACAGGTCATGTCATCATGCTGCATTCGATTTAATATCCAAGTTACTAAAACAAGAGTAATCCGAAGTCCAATGATCAAAACGAAGGGGATATGCGGGGGAAAGATGGGCTTGTTTTACGAGAATCATCTGAATTATCTATTAAGGTTGTAAACCCATCTGCTTTCTGGTTCTGCCTACAAACAAGTCTCCGGATTTGAGCAAGCCCGGAATACGTCCGCTCAGTGTCGTAAACGGAAATTGGGCGACCGCATCTTTCTTTCCGAGGGAAACTATTGCGATCACCGAACCAGGCTCGTACTTGGCCATTTTGCTTTCTTTTCCTCCATCCATCAACAACTTCAAGTTCTTAGCCACCACCAAGGCATGTCTATGAGCTAAGTAACCTTGTTTGAGTTCCTGCATTATTGAGATATCTGAAATGTTAGGACTACCTTGTGAAACAAGATACTAACACGACTGATTCAATACATAAAACCAACACATTTGCAATGTAGTATTATCAAGTCTTAAGCTTAAGACTAAGATAGCTTATTCAACAAAATTGTTCTTAACTGTGGGATAGGAATACTTACTGGGATGTCGGTGATATCTCCAATTGCAAATATGTTGCTTCGACCCTTGACTCTTAGATATTCATCAACCATCAACCTTCCGTTTTTATCCAAGTTAGTCTTCAATATACTCTCACTAAGCCATGCTGTGGCCAATGGTTTTGCGACACAAAGGAAATGGCAATCTGCTTGTATACTTTCTCCGGACGAGGTTTGATATACTTGACTTCCATCTGAAGTGGAGTTCAGATCAACTGCTAGCTCTAGTTTTACTTCAACTTTCCTTGATCTCAGCCAACCTAAACTCTTGTCAGAAGCTTTGGTTCCAATGAATTCCAACAACCTTGGTCCCTTATGAACCAGCGTAACCTTCTTACCTGGAAAGTCGGTGGCGATTTCTCCGGCAAGTTCAACACCAGAAGGACCTCCTCCAACAATCAAAATAGATTGAGCAGATTGTATCTTTTGATTTTCTGCCAGCATTATGGATACAATAGAATTAACATAAGCAGAACATAATCCAAAATTGTTCTATCTTGTACACATAAAATACATCAGTTTTTTATCTTGTTCCTCTAAAATGCATTCCACAGCCAGAGTATATCCAAACTTAATAACACATTTTAGTTTCACAAAACATATGTAATAAGTTCTTAGCCTCGACTCGCCAATACTCGAATGATTGCAGCTAATAATAAGAATAGGAAGACAATGAGTTGCTGCAGTTTTTTACCTGCATCATATTGATGAAGTCTCTCCACCTTAGTTACCGGAACAGGATCAGCGTGTCCAGTAGCAATTACAAGATAATCATAAACAATGTGACCGCCGTCTGCTGTCAATACTTCTGTGTCTGTGATGTTTATGGCAGCTGTCGTAACGATTCGTCCATTGGTAAGGTATTCTCTATGGTTTATCACCGATCTATCCGCAAACGATGGCTCCACCATGTTCCTTAAGTTTGCCCATGTGAGCTCAAGATACTCCTTCCTGAAATTAGAGCAAAGATGTTCCAATTAATCACTCTCCTTTCCACGGCAGTTTACCAAATCCAGTTCGATCAATTGCCAACGTTAAGATCTTTTAAAGATCCAAATAGAAGCTAAACTATCCAAAACAACCACAATCCTACATATATTGCTTCAATCCCATATTAATTATTTACACATATCAAACGGCTTGCAGCATAGAAAATAAAACAAATCCAGAAATTTAATTAAGCTGCTGGGTTCATTGAACTCGCATTTCAGAGTCTTTCATCACAAATGAATTGAAATCGAAAAAACACAAATCATTTTGAAGGGGGAAAAAGCCAAGAAAACTTACGGATCGATGAGAGTGAGATCAGCATTGAATTGGATAGTTTTGGCAAGGAGAGAGCCACCAATTCCACCGCCAATAATCACCACCCTTCTTCTTCCTCCTCCAGATTCCATAATGTCTTCAGTGTTTTTGTTTTTGCGTCGTTGGTTCAGATTATGGAAAAAAATTTGTTTGGGAAAGCAACTTGAGTTCACATCAAAGGGAGAATTGGTCTTTAGTGTTTGTAAAGAAATGTAAGGTCAAACATTAGAGGGGAAGAAAGATTGAATTCTTCCAGATCTCAAGATTTGTAGATACAGACAGCGTTATATTCTGAGAAGAATCAATTAGAAAATAAAAAACAAAACAAATAAAACCCTTATGCTTTCTGTATTTTGGTTCCAAGGATTGATCCAATGGGGGTTCGATTTCGATGGACTCTGTCATTGGCTGGATCAATATTGATATTTTCGTTTTGATCCTGGGATTTTTTTCCCCTTCAGCCAATCAAAGTTCGGCATTTGTAACTAAATATCACAGTTAAAAATACTACTAGTATTTTTGAAAAGGGCAAATTATACTTCGTCCACGCTAAACTTTATTCTCTCCTATTGTATTCATTTTACTTTTGATTTTTTAATATACTCACTCAACTTTTGAATTGTTTCAGTTTTAATCACTCTCAATTATTTTATTATATTTTCTTATGATGTGATATTTTTATTATTATTTAATAAAATAATTTTAAATATAAAATAAAAATAAAATGTGTTCGGACACCACCGCTGGTCGCCGTCGATCATCGTAGATGGTGGTCGTTTGATCCCAAATTTAATGGATTGCTTCACCTCAACACCCTAAGTCCAAATCCGACCTCCATTTTATCAGAACTTGCTCCGAAGTCCACGAATTAAAAATATAAAATAAGGAAACTGAAATGTTTCAATCGAGATTGATAGGTTTTTGGGATTTTTTTTCTAGTGAAACAGCCACCATATTCGGACTTAAGGGGTCAAGGGGAACCAACCCATAAAATTTAAGATCGAACTACCACAATATATGGCAATTGAAGGCGGCTAGCGTTGTCATCAAACCATATTCTATTTAAATTTTATATTTTAAAATTATTTTTATATTAAATAATAATAATAATAATGTCATGTTATACGAAAATAATAATAAAATAATTCAGAGTAATCAAAACATGAACAATTCTAAAATAATTCTAAAATTTAGTGGATAAATTAGAAAAATTGAAAGTAAAGTGAATAAAATAAGATAGAGTTAATATCAGTGAGAAATGGTATAATTTACCCTTTTTAAAATTATATCAGTTTTTAATTTGTTCTCAAATATATTTGAAGAAAAAATTATACAAATTATTAAATATATCGTATCAAAATATTTTTTTATTAAGCTAAGGTGATTACAGAGTAGTATCTGTTCTAAAGACTCTCAACCATTTGTTAATGAATGTTCAATTACCCTATTGCAGTAGTTGGTGCTTGAACCTATGGGTAAGCAAATCTCGACTCGAAAAATTGAATTTTTTCAATTTCGAGTTATTCGAGTCAACTCAAACTATAAATTCGATTTTCGAGTTTGAGTCGAGTTGAAATTTTGAATTTTCGAATTACTTGAAAAACCAAAAAATTGACCCAATACTTTGATTGTTTTACGATTTAATTCATGATTTCATTATTTCTTCAATTACTCCTTCATTTTAAATTCTTTTTTTACCAAATTTGATCCACATGCTCTTAACCATAGTAGAATTCATGTGTACTTTCAATTCCTCTTTTTGATATTTTTTTATTTTTCAATTTAATCCTTCAATTTTTCATAATTTCCTTATTTCTTCAATTCATCATTTATTTATGTCCTTTTTTTTATCAAATTTGAGCCACATGATCCTAAACCATAGTAGAATACATGTGTACTTTCAATTCCTATTTTTATAAATTTTTTTTTTATTTTTTTCAATTTGGTGTTTCAAATTTTCATAATCTCTTTATTCATTCAATTTGAACCACATGCTCATATACCACAATAGAATACCTATATAATTTTAATTGTTATTTTTAACCAAAAATATACTATCTTTTTTATTTAGTCCATAAACTTTGCATTTTACTCAATTTGGTCTTTGCATTTTACTCAATTTGGTCTTTTGATTACAACTGTTTGCAAATTCTTTCTTCTCATCAATTCATTCACTCATTTACACTCTCATCAATATTTTACCCTCGAAATACTTTCTTTAAAATATAATATTATGAATATATTTTCTAATTTTAGATTGTATTTAATATATTAAATAACATTATAATATGAAAGAATAATATATATATATATATATATATATATATATATATATATATATTGTTATATAAAGTCAAAAAAATTGGAATGAATCATTGCCATAATACTATAAATAGTTATAATAAAATTAGTACAAAAACTCGAATAACTCGACTCGAATTTATTAAACTTGACTTGACTCGAAAAACTTTCAAGTTAACTTCGAGTTGTAAAATATGTAGGAGTCATCAAAAATAGTAGCAATTTTTACTTTTTTTTTCTTACCCTAATGAGAGTATGTCAAAAATTTGTAGTGCAATTGTATAGGGATTGTGTTTTTCTTTCAAAACCAATATAAATGGGATAAAGTCTTTGTATTTCCAACATACAATATTGTGAAAACCCATCAGTTCCACAATAAAATTAAGTCTCTTCTATTACAATTTACTGAAGTAATCCAAATTCAATTGAGTGTCAATTTTTAAAGGTAAGAAATTAAACAGAATTATATTTATTATTTTTAGTTAGAATTATTTGATCTTATACTTAATTTTAGTGTTCGTTTGGGTAATCTAATAACAATTAAGTCAAATGTTGATTTCTAAATTTTATTTTTTGTGTTCGTGAACTAATTTTATATAAATGCATATCGTGCACGGAGAAAATCTAACAATTATGGAACTTTTTAAGAGAAAAGTGGTGAAACTTAAAAAAATGCAACAACGAAAATTTCAATTGGTACATCTGTTGATGCTTCACCTTCAGAAGATTGACCTTCAAAGATAGTTAGAAATATGACCTCTTTAAGATTAAATCTTAGGTCCGTCCTTGGTAAGTTGATTTGTGTGTATCAAAATGTTTACTAATTGAGGTTTGGAATCAAATTTATACTAGTCATTTAATATGATTCGAAATTAATTATTATATAATAAAAATATTTTTAAAAAACAAAAGAAATCAATTATTGTGGATTTAAACGACAATATTATATTAAAAACCCTCATTAATTATTTTTTGAACAGTAACCCCTTAGTAGATTTATTAGAAAAATGCCCTCCAAACTGTACACGTAGAACTACCTCACGTCTTATCCAGCGCGAGAACGTCTCTTGTATTTTATAGGATGCGAGATACTGTGCACTTTTCAGATTACCAAATTTAATACAATTATTTAGTACCTCGCATTTCCCAGAACAAGAGGTCCACGAGACATTAAATCGTCGCGAGAAATTTATTGCAAGAAGTATTCAACATACCCCGCGCTTTCCAAAAAAAACAAGGTATTTTTTTTCAACAATCCACAACTGCTTATAGGCATGTTCGGGGGGCATGCTCATGTATTTAATCTCAAAATTTTGTAATTTATAAGATTTTTTGCGTAGTATTGGAATTTATCTTTCAGTTAAAGCTAATATAAAGACATATGAGATATCCTAGGCAGGTTAAAAATCGCGTTGAAAATTGTACCAAAGCTTGTTTTGTGCAAGAATAAGAAGATACAAAATCTTATTCAAAATGGCTATAATGCTTGGTTTTGTGCATACAGAACAAGCTAAAATGGCTTGATAGACATGGCTAGTATCGACACATATAAGACATTTTAAGCGGTGTAATAATCATGTTTAAAATTGTTCAAAACAAAAGTAGTACAATGAAAAAACACAATAAGTTTGAGGGAATGAGTGGAGGTGTGCCATCTATAGGTTTGATGCCTTAAGTAAAGGATGTCACAGGAAGAGAATTCCTTCTTAGAAACATTGTGGGTTTGATGGAGAGTAGATCGGGGATAAAAATGGTATTTGGAAGCCATTCCCACCATTTTCAGATCCATGTCACACGCGATAAGTCAATAGAGCCACATGAAGAGAATGTCTTCTTAGAAACGATTAATTTCCTGAGAAGGTTGGGGTTTGATGGAACAAGAAGTTTCTCGATAAGCCCTCCGTAGTAAATGCAAGACGAAAAGCTAAGAAGATGAGTGGAGGTCATATCAGGGCCTCAAGCGAGAAAAGTCGTAGACGATGCCACCAAAAGAGGATGCCTTCACAGAGTTTCCCAAGAAGGTCGGGCCACTCATGTTTAATTGATTTTAAAAATATATCGTATAAAAGACAAGTTGAAGAGGAGACCACCCGAAGAGAATGTCTTTTATAAACATTGTTGATTTGACGAAAAATATGGAATTTATGAAACATTTTTTTTGAGAAGGTCATATCTTTTATAAAAGTCATTCTCTTCGGGTGGCATAACTCATAGCACCAATATTGACATAAGTTTAGTGCCAAGTTTTGCCAACAGAAGAAAAGCCTCTTATAAGCATAGATCGTGTTAAAATTTACAATATTAGTGGAAGGGGGATATTTATTTATATTGGACTAATCTCGAGCTGTGCAAAAAACAAGTTTTGCAAAGATTCTTGACATAGCAGGAAACTCGCTCTTTACAAAACACGAGTTACTGAGGAATTACTTACGTGGTATAGATTTCTGATGTGGAAACAACATTTGATTCGATGTGGCAAGTATCGTATTAAAATGAGCAAGAAAATATGGCTATAAAAACAAAACTGGTGTCCATTTTGGATGAAATACATTCGTAAAACAAATAGTAATGGCGGGATTTTCTGTAATTGTGTTCCATTCCGGAACTTATTTCTATACTTCATTCAATGGCAATATTAAGAAAGATGAGTTGTACCATCTGATTTCAATAAAGCTTAAAAATCTACAACACGACAGATGTCTTCATTCAAGCTAAAGTTTTCATGGGAAATACCGATACTGAATCAAATTACATGTTGACCTTATCGAATACAAGCGACCTTCAGAAGATGTTCAAGGCTTACACGCGTGTTGGTGGTAAGAACATTGAGTTAACTGTAACGTTTGAGGAAGAATCATATTCAACAAGCAATGAAGGAGTAGTTCGGTTATCACAAGACTATGAGGAAGAAGAGTCAGTTTTACTACGTATTTCCCGTGAACGTCGGAAGAAAGAGTGATACATAACTCTTGTAGTTTTTTTATTTTGTT